TTTTGTAACGAGAAAGTAATGAGTTACTTTTCAATTTGAAAAGTAAAGTAATTGTATTACAATTTTATTAGAGTAACGAATAAAGTAACTTTATTACTTTTTAAAAGTAATTTACCCAACACTGGAAGTTATTTACTGTTAATTGACAAAAAATTAACATATAACCATATAAGTACAAAATACTTATTGTCATTTACAATGAACGTAAATAATATTTGTATTGAATATTGATATTTGAAAATGGTGACAATTATCATCATATTTTAAAGAGTAAAATTAGATAATTCAATAGCCATCTCGGGGGGGGTAGTATTTGGTATTAGGAAAGTTTTTAATTTTGAACATTTTAGTAAACAAAACAAATGACAAAGTAAAACATTGTTATTTGGTAAAACGATACCTAATTTTGTGTGGGTTCAGGGTTGATCATATGWAATTTTTTATCAATTCATGTTATCACTTAAATTTTCAAAATACAACAAATTATTAACTAACAAAAATTTATAATAGTAGTACTGTAGTAGAGATTAAAAGATTGAGAAAAAAATTAAGACATTAAGCGACCAAAAGACCAAATAAAATCTTTTTCGAAAATAATTATTTGACATTGACACAGGTTTATGGGATTTTTGTACAATAGATTTTTGAAATGTTTACCAGACATATTACTGCAGTTGTTGGTATTTCAAGTTTTTGCCTTGGAATATGGATKGATAGAAAATTTAGGGAACTGAACRCATTGCAAAGAATACCAGGATTTAAAATATTTGATGCAGTTTACGCTGATGGCATTGTGACCAATAATCAAGAACTAATTGTTAATAATGAACAGCGAATATCTCAGGTAAAATATACATATTTTGTAACATTTAATAATCATTTTTATTATTTACCATAAAGTGTTCTAGTATGTAAATATTTTTATTTCAATTTTAATTACCAATGATCATTTTGTATACTTATGTATATATTTTTAGATTATGAGATATGGATTTCCAAGTTTGGATAATGTACGTTCGTATAAGAATTTTGTTCTGTCTTATGATCAAAGGAATCGTATACCCCATTGGGTTCTAGAACATCTCACACCAGAAAGCATACAATATAATCCTAATGTAGATAGAGCGTCATGTGAATTTTATGAAGATAATTCATTTCATGAGTTTTTTCGGTTATTTTTATATTAATATTATCTTATAACATAAAGTGGGTATAAATTTAAAAAATGTATATTTTAGAGCTACAAACAAAGATTATAAAAATAGTGGTTTTGACCGTGGACATCTAGCAGCAGCTGGAAATCATAAAGCTAGTCAAGAATTAATAAAACAAACATTTGTCTTATCAAATATTGCTCCGCAAGTTGGTAAAGGATTCAACCGATCAGCTTGGAATAACTTAGAAAAATATGTTAGAAAAAAAGCAAAATATAGTAAAAATACATATGTTTGTTCAGGTCCACTTTTTTTGCCCAAGTAGGATATTATAAAATTTCCATTTTAAATTATTAATACWAATGTATTATTTACTTATACACTTAATTAAAACCAAAATATTTGTAGAAAAGGAGATGATGGAAAATTATGGATCAAATATCAAGTAATTGGTGACAATCATGTTGCTGTTCCTACTCATTTTTATAAAATTATTGTTATTGAGAGTTTAGACTCTAAATTTTATTTAGAATGTTATATAATGCCAAATCAAGTGATTCCTGATGACATACCATTAAAAGACTTTCAAGTAATTTATACATTTATATTAAATTTAGTGTTTGAAAATAAATAAATAGCAGTGTTGAGTAGTACTAAACTGCGAATTCGAATCATATTAAGCGCAACTATTAAAGTGTGCATTAGTGCATTACTAGTTATAAATTATAAATATAAATTATTATATATTTCAGATGCCTTTGGAAGTAATTGAACGTGCATCAGGATTACAATTTTTTAAACGTTTAACACTTGATAAATTTACAAACCTTAATTAATAATTACTAATTAGAATTGAAATAACTTAGTATTTAACATGTTACACACATAATTATGTGGAGTTTAAATATATTAATTATACAAATCATTATAAAATTAATATTTTTATCTATATTACAACTGTTGTACTTCTATCACAGATTATAATCTGTGCTTCTATAGTGAGTTCTATCAGCTGTTTCAGATGTTAGTTATCCTTTACTTAACATATTAGATATGTTGTGTTTGTCAAATGACACCCAAAATATATTTTCTGTCTACTACTTAGCGCAATCTCATCAAGTGCTTCTCATGATAGAACTTCTCATGGACTTTTTATAATATTTTAATTCAAAAGCGAGTTATGAGTATTTTAAAATTGTAAATCGTTTGTAAATCTTAAAATAAATATAACTCCTTTTAAAATTAATATATATTTAATAGTCA